TACACGAGTTAATGCCTAAGTGAATTAGAAATGTGGTTTCTCATATTAGGAAAGAAAATTATCTCGTCATACCTGTGTTTATTTACTCGAAGATGTACGGAATCGTTTGGGCCACGATTTGATGCAATACCACCTATCTATCCATGCAATGAGCAACATGTACTTGCAATAACCATCTTACCATTTCAACAATTCCCTCATCCTTCCCCCTCAAATCATTCATAATTCATAAGGGAAGGCACCGATCAAGTTACACCTGGTCGACCAACACTGATCCAACACTGATTTGGATTTAATTAATGGGGTATTCCTATTACCTTACCTGTTATGTTGCCAATGCCACATATTTTACAGTTGGAAATGCCACGAGGCATTTGGTCCAACTGTAAAATACTATCATATAGTATAATAAACAGTTGATAAACATATTCTAGAAACCATTCCAATGTATGTATGTGTATGTGTACCCGAATAAATAAGAGGCTTAAGAGTCCAAATATGTTGAAAATGAAGATTTGTGCGCGGCTGGTTTGAGTTTCTCCTGAAGTTTAAAACGTTTATTTTTAATTTCTTTTGTTTTACGATATCCTTTCTCTCTAGAAAAGATGGAAAACTTGATAGAAAAACTCTTGGATCGAGGAATAAATCCAACAAGAAATTGSATCTGACCTGCGAATGATGTTAAGACCAGCAATCAAGCCTGAACATCAAAGTGACTGTACCGTGACACAAAATAACTCTTGATAATTAAGACATGAGGATAAGCATGTATAAAAGATACCATATGGCCACTACTAAACATACCTGTTTCACATTGACTACCGGTGTACCCATTAGGACAGGAACAGGAATATCCTCCATTATAACGATTGTAACAAGTGCCATTATTACGACAAGGGCCACTGTTACACGGGTACATGTCTAGATTCAAAATGAATAGATTTTCTCATATTAGAATAGCAGCATTCCTGTTAAACTGGTATAATTATTTCAGTTGGGGATCAGCTGTAGCGTCGAATACAATGGTCTATTGCTTGACTGCCCAGTGTAACCATAAGGACTGGTACAGGTGTAATATCTTCCATAAGGATTACTATTGTGACAGGTGTTTCTGTTACGACAAGGGTTACTGTTACATGCTATGTGTAGAT